AAAAATTGAAAGAAAATGATAAAAACTTCAGAAAATAAAATCCTTCGAGAGGTAGTTATATTACTACACCTACTAGTTATGAAAATTTAAAAACTTAAATTTGGACATGTTTTGCAAAAAGTGTAGGGAAAATGTAAAATGGCTATAAATTTTGCATACGATGTTGGAAAAAATGTATAATATATCAAAAAATTCAGCACGAAAATCCGCATCCGATTTTGACCGCCTGTGGCCTGTTTGCAATTTTTTAGAATCCTCAAATTCCAAAAGGAAAAAAAGATATGCTCAAATTTTAGTTTTTTTTTTAATTTTGGTCAAACTATGGTCAAACTACTTATTCAAGAAGTATTAATGTTACTACATAATTATTCAAGAATATTAGTGTTACTAAATAATTATTTCAATTTTTTGAATTTTGGTCAAATCTGATCAAACTATGGTCAAACTTATTTAAGAAATATTAGTATTACTAAATAATTACTGTTTTTTAGAATAATAGTTTCAAACTCAAATGGTGAAACGAGTGACCTAATGCTCAAGCTAAACTGCTGAGGGTTAATAGGATTGACAGCTTACATTTCTCAGTAAAACAATAAGTGCAGACTTGGAAAGTAAGGGGAATAGAACTCCGAAGTTAAGTGTGCTCAGGTTGGGAGAGTGAGAGGATGGGTGACCGACCGGGAAGTTAGACGATTTGGAATGAGTGATCCACACTTGAGCAATTAAGAGGGGTGATTAGAGACTAAATCATCAAATAATTCAATTCAGAAAATTGAAAATCGAAAAAGAAATCAAAAAAATTTCCAAAATTTTCAAAAAAAAATTCAAAAAAAAATCTTTAGTACCGGTTGGTAACCCCATGCCACGCGCGCGAGCTCACGCCACGTGATGGGCCTTTAGTGCCCACACTTTAGTGCCGGTTACAGAACCGGCACTAAAGGCCCTTACGAACCGGTTTTAAGGCTCTTCGCGAAGCTGGTTGCAGCTCTCTGCAGTGCCATTGTAGCTCTCAGCATGGTAGCAATCCTCGCCATTGTAGCTTCGCCATGGTAACCATTGCTTGTTCCAACATTCCAAAAAACACTGGTTCCAACACCCTCACTCGTTGGTTGAGGCTTTTCTTGCTGCTTGAAGCTTTTCTCGACACCCTGGTCGGAGCTTCGCTGTCGTGTCATAGCTTTCCCGTTGTTGTGGTTGAAGCTTTTTGTGACGCTGGTTGAAGCTTTTTGCGATGCCGGTTGAAGCTTTCTGCGTCACCTCTGGACTTGCAACAAAAAAAGAGCGTCTCGTCTCGTCCCCACGGCGTCGTCGGTTCCACCATGGCAGTTTGAGCTTGCAGCAAGGACATGGCATCACCATGGCGATGTGGACGACCTGGACAGGGAGGGGGGAGGGGGAGGGGGCCCTGGCAATGGCGTCACGTGCCGAGGAGGGCGACGGGAATGGATGGTGCATGGCCATGGCGTCGCCGTGGCGAGCGGCTGTCTGCTTGTCAGTGTGGAAAAGCTCGTATCCATGGCCGCCGGGGCGTAGCTCTAAGTCCACGACAACGCGTGGTGTCGGGGGAAAAATATAAGATTGTTGGTGGTGCGGGCCCATGTAAAGCGTGCTCGTCCAATCAAGACAGACGCGTGTGCGAGGCGACCAGCCGAAACTCGGCCGGTCTACCGTATGCAAACATTTACCTTTAGCAAAATTGTTAAAAAAACTTCTTCCACTGATGAAAAAACACGTAAAATGTTATCTCGCAAAAAATGTTATCTCGCAAAAATGTTATCTCGCAAAAAATGTAAACACGTAGCTTTCCTGCTATTTTAAAACACACATAAAATGTTATCTCGCAAAAAAAACACGTAAAATGTTCTCTTGTGCAAAAGGGGGCCCGCATGCCAAATTGCCAATAACAATGACCGCCGCATCCGCTAGCTTCCCGCCAGCGCTGGAATAGCCAAAAGTAGCAGCATCAGTTCGGCGCCGTTCGCCTTGACCGACGACTTCAGCGCTCTCCACCGGCCCCGTGAAGTGGGAGCAGGTAGCACTGCGAGTACGCGGTTTCCTCCGATTCAGCCCGGCCGGTCCATAATAAATCAGTTCAATTGCTAATTTCATGTCAGTCAACATTTGCGCCCCACGGGCCATGGCACCACGCGTTTTCACTTTTTTTTTGGAATGTTGGTAGTTCTACCAAATTCATTGATCAGGAGAAAGAAGATTGGTCCAGTTTATAAGGGAAACCGGACCCAAAAACCATACAAACTGCGCCTTTCGGCAGCAGCACACACAACACATATCCTAGCGAGCCACGGGTCCCTCTAACCGGATCCATCTCCAGGACGATGCCCCCAAGAGAGAACACGACACCGAATGGCGCCGCCATCGTCTGATTTAAACTAGATCAAGAGTTTCCCCCGGAGCACGTTGGGAAAGGCAAGGTAAGAGCAGCTATATCGATGCCTCCAACGAGGAAGCGACGCGTGAAAGCGCCGCCGTCGACGACTCCGGCCGCAACCGGAGTACGACTTTCGCCGGCAGTCTCACCTGCATAGCCCGAACCCAGGATCCAATCAGCCTACACAGCGAACCACTATCCCTGCCTCCACGGCCAACCGCACCTCCCCGACGAGCTCGACGTGTTTCCAACCTTGCATCCACACACCCCACTGGACGCAGGATGCAACCCCTAGCGGCGCCATTCGTCTCCCATCGGAAGGATGCAACCAAGCACCACGACATTCGTCTCCTCGAGGATGCAACGCCTGCCGGCCATTCATCTCCCGACGAAGGATGCAACACCCGCAGCGAGGCCATTCCTCTCCCTCCAGCCACCACCATCACGGCCTCCCACCCGAAGCAGCATCGAGCTCACCGAACCACCAAACAGAAGGATGAAACACCAGGCGATGGTGCCATTCATCTCCCACAGCCTCACCCGCACGGGCAGCAGAAACCAGATCGACCACTGCTCCCTGCGGAGCTCCCATGCGCGGGCCTGGCCGCTAACGCCCCAGCACAGCCGCAACCCTAACACACCAGATCCGGGCCGCCAGAGCCACGGCGCGGCATCCAGGCGCCAGATCCGGATCCCCGGCGCGCGAGCACAGCGCCTCCCTGCGCAGCCAAGCCGCTCCTCCGGACGCGGTCACCCCGCGACAGTGCGCGCCCTCGAGACGCCAGATCCGCGCGGGCTGGAGACCTCGCGCGCCCACGGCTCCTACGCCGCGAGCTGCCTCCTCCTCGCGCCAGAGGCGCGCGCTAGCCACCCCTCCGCCATGGCGTGCCGAGCAGCGCCGGCCCGCGCACAGCCACACGCCGCAACGCCTCGCGCCTGCCTCCTCCGCTTGGCGCAGCTGCCCCGCAGCCTACCTCGCGAGCGGGAATGGAAGAGCTCGCCGCCGCCGACACCACACGGGCTTTGCCCGGGCGGCGCTCGCCGGCGGCGGCGGGGGAGGAGGGGAGGATGGGTGGCGGCGGTGCCCGGCGGCTAGGGTTAGCGCTCGGGCCGCTTGCGGGGAGCGACACGGAGCTCGGGGTGAACATGTGTGAAAAAAACTTTGTAGACCGAACAAATATTAGAACATCAATGTGTGAAAAAACTTTCAGATTTTTTGGTCTGACATAAATATACAAAATGAGATTTTCTTTGAATAAAAATATTATTTCAAGTATTTAAAATGCATGAAAAAATCTGAAAGTTTTTTCCTATATCGTAGTTAGAATGTATTGTTGTTCTGCAAAATTTAAAGTTCATATGTTGTGTCGTTTAAGAGAAACAAAAAAGACAAATGTGTTTGCACGGATCTTGATGCATAAATGGATGGCAAAGATAAGGGGTACCGTGTAGCGTGAACTATGGAAGGGAACCAGCCCCTGTGACTGGACGGGCGTAGCCTGCAGCAACGCTGTGCTGCCTCGTGGTGATGTTGTCCTAGTTGTGGACAACATTTCACTTCCGTTCCGCCATATTCATGGCAGGTTGGACAATCTCCACTTTGCAGACTTGCCTTATCTTGTCTATCTGGACCTCAATTTCAATTTCCTTTTGGGACCAATCCCGTCAAGCATTGGAGTTCTGGCCGAGCTTGCTTACTTGGATCTGTCCTACAATGGCCTGAACGGATCTATCCCAACTTCCCTAGGTAATTGAACTAAAATAATCTCCCTTGATCTCTTCTACTACAGTTTTTTCTACCATGCCTAGTAATGTATGAATTTGATGAGCCTTCACTTACCAACTAAGTCCTGCCTGCTGCACATCATGAGCCTTCTCCTAGCCTTGGAGCTGCTGCTGCTCCTGCTCGCCTTGCCACACCTTACTTCTGCCTCAAATTCCACGCATCCGTCACTGTATCGGCAAGCCAAGGCACTTCTCCAGTGGAAATCAAGCCTAGAGGGATGGAGCTTTGAGCTGGACTCATGGACAAAGGTAACCAGCCCCGGTGACTGGACGGGCGTAGGCTGCAGCAACGCCGTGCTGCCTCGTGGAGTTCTAGCCGAGCTCACTTACTTGGGTTTGTCCCAGAATGGCCTGAATGGATCTATCCCAACTTCCCTAGGTAATTGAACTAAACTAATCTCCCTTGATCTCTCCTACTACAGTTTTTTCTACCATTCCTAGTACACTATGAATTTGATGAGCCTCTCCACTTTGCAGACTTGCCTCATCTTGTCTACCTGGACCTCTGTGGGAACTCTCTCTCGGGCCTAATCCCATCTAGCATTGGAGCTCTTGTCAAGCTCGTGTTCTTAGATCTATCCTACAATTTTCTCAATGGACTTTTCCACCATCCATAGGTAATTGTACAAAACTAACGACTCTCGGTCTGTCACACAATTTATTTTCCAAAAGATCCATTGAAAGCATAGGAAATTTGACGAGTTCAGAAAACTTAGATCTTTCCTACAATCACATAAATGGTTCCTTCCCTTCAATCATTTTGTAATTAGCCTCTCTAACAACACTAGATCTTGAATCCAATCAGCTTAACAGCATGTCACCACCACAATTTCGATCTCTTATAAATCTATCATATCTGGATCTTTCCAACAACCAGATCACGGGTTCCATTGGAAGCATAACCGGTCTAACAAGTTTAGAATTCTTGTATCTTTCCAACAATCTAATAAATGGTTCTATCCCATCGAACTTTTCGAAATTGATCTCTCTTACAACACTATCACTTAAGTCCAATCAGCTTAGTGGCCTATTACCTCCAGAGTTAGGATCTCTTGTTCTTCTAACTGATCTGGATCTAAGTAGAAACCAGTTTCTAGGAAGCATTCCACCTCAGATAGGACATTGCCACCTTTTGTCATCGTTACTCATATCAGACAACTTATTAACAGGAGAAATACCACAAGAATTTGGTTATCTTACCAACCTATATGAGCTGGACTTGAGTAGAAACAATTTAAGTGGCACCATCCCAGGGACTTTTTCTAAATTTTCCCAACTGTATAGGATGAATTTATCATATAATAGTTTGGGTGGCGCAGTTCCATTACTTCCATATGCATCTGTCTCTGGACCCTTGATATCACTTGACAATAATATGGATTTATGCGGTGAACATTTTTATGGTGTAAAACCATGTGAAGTACCAAAGCTTGACAGAGAACGACAAAGCAATAAGCATCCAAATAAGATGCGACCTATAATCATTTTTTCTTCATTTTCATTTGCCGGCCTTGTAATAGCAAGCATTGTGGCTGTTTGTTGGAGAAGAAAAATCATAAAAATTACTACCGAAAGCAAGTCTGGAGATATACTTTCCATATGGAATTTCGATTGGAAGATCGCGTTCAAAGAAATACTCACTGCAACAGAAAATTTTGATGAGAAATATTGCATAGGCATTGGAGCCTACGGATCAGTCTTCAGAGTTGAGCTTGGAGGGGGGAAGATTTTTGCAGTCAAGCTCCTCCACTCGATGGAAGAATACAGCGATGAGGGGACATTTCATGCTGAGATTGAAATACTGACGAAAATAAGGCACCGATGCATCGTCAAGCTGTATGGATTCTGTTCCCACTCCCGGTGCAAATTTCTCGTCTATGATCTTATCGAGAGGGGAAGCTTATCGTCTATTCTGCATGAGCAAGAGCTAGCGATGGAGCTAAATTGGCCCAGGAGAGTTGTTGTCGTGAGGGATGTAGCTCAAGCTCTCTCCTACTTGCACCATGACTGCGACCATACAATCGTGCATCGTGACATAAAAAGCAGTAATATTCTTCTGAACCTCGATTATAAAGCTTATGTCTCGGACTTTGGCATGGCGAGGAAGCTGAAGCACCGTTACTCAAGCTGGAGCTCTATCTTTGCAGGGACATGTGGCTACATAGCCCCAGGTACATACATGGGCTTAATATTTTGTTTATCCTTGAATTAATATGAAAACGTGATTCAGAAAGAGACAAAATGTGGTTTTGTTTTTTTGCTGCAGAATTGTCATCTACCATGTTATGGACAGAGAAGTGTGACGTGTACAGCTTTGGCGTGGTTGCACTGGAAGTTTTGATGGGAAAGCACCCGGGTGATTTGCTCCTTCCATTCTTCTGCGGAACAGAGCAGCCGGAAAAGCTCAAAGACATCCTGGATCAACGCATCGCAGCACCGTCAACCATTGATGAGGGGAAGGATGCCATTTTGGTTGCCTTGGTGGCCTTTGCTTGCCTGCAAGTCTCTCCAAAAGCTCGGCCAACAATGCAGCAGGTATATCAGGCACTCACGAACAGAAACCGCCCAACGCTGATGCTCAGGCCATTTCATGAAATCAGCCTGCAAGATCTGCACGATTACTGTGGCGCCATGGAGAATATACGAAGCTACATACTAGTCTCCTTTGTTGGCAACTACATGTTTGGCACGTTTCTGTTTGAGATAATGGATCTATACTGCCAGGCTTGAAATTTGAAGTGTCATGTATCAAGAGATTGATATGAACAAGAGATTTCTGTGGATAACTGGTTCTTGAAGCGACATTTTGATATGGCAATTAGCATCTTAACATTTTTTTCTCGAATACGCATAGCATGCGTATCTTACATTAAAGAGAGAAAAAAGGGGTACAAGAGCCCTCCACCGAGGGTGTTACAACACACCCACTCCACCGTATCAAGGGTACACACTACACCTCACCTCCGACCCACCTATGTATCCACCTAAAGAAGGGTTCCAAGTCCGACCGTATGAGGCCGGCCGTCTTCCAAGCCCTACCCTCCGAAAGGATCCTACCAAAGAGTCTATTAAGTGACGGGGAGTCGCCGTCAAACACGATCCCATTTCGATGTTTCCAGAGCTCCCAAAGGGAAAGGATGATGATGGTTCGTGAGTCCCTCGCCGGCATGCCGTCCCCTCCTATGTTTACCAGCCATGATGGTACCATGTCGTCCTGCGTTGGCGTCCACTCCGGCTTGCCCAGTGCCGTGCAAATCTGCAGCCAAAAGGACCGGGAGAAGGCGCACTGAAGCATGATATGGTTCATCGTTTCATCCTCCTGGTCGCAAAGAAGGCAAACCTCCTGATGCAGCAGCCCCCTCCTGGCCAAACGATCTGAGGTCCAACAGCGGTTCCGCACCGCGAGCCAAGTGAAAAAACGGCACTGAAGGGGGGCCCGATTTTCCCACGTTGCTGCCGCTGTCGGGACCACCTCCCTGCCTGAGAACTTCGCCGCGTAAGCCGAGCTAGCAGAGTAGACCCCGCTCCTCTCCCATGCCCACACGATCCGGTCGTGCACTCCCTCCTGGAGTTGATATCCTTGGACCCGCTCCCACAGCTCCATAAAGTGGAGGAGCGCCGGCCCTTCCAAATTCGGACCCACGTACTGTGCCCATGCGCCATTAGCTAATGCCTCGTTGACGTGGAGTTGCCGGCGAACGCGTTTGGGAATCCTGGAGTAGATGGCCGGTGCAACTTTCCCGATCCTGAATCCTTCCAGCCACCTGTCCTCTGAGAACAAAGCCTGTCTACCGTCTCCGACCGTCGTGTGCATCACCGTGTTGCATAGCTGCCTAGCTGCTTTTGGCACCGATATGGTGAACTCACTCCATGGTCTCGAGTTATCTGTCCGCGGCACCGATTGGGGATGGGTGGAGAGGGAGAGGAGAGTGAAAAGAACACTCACTGCCCGGGGAAGGGAAGCACCAGCAGTCAATGACCAGATCCTTCTTCAAACGAACCGGCGAGCGCAGACCAGAGGAAGCCCATGGCGTGGCGACGGTGGTGGCAGCCCCTGGGTGACGACTGACGAGCGAGGGTGCGAGTGCTCTCTCTCGCAGGTGACCCACCTCTCCCTCCCTCCCTCTCTCAGCCCCGGATCTGAGAGGGATGGCGGCGTCCACCACCGCGCCTTGGCCTCTCCCTGAACTCCAACGCACAAGCTAGGGCTAGAAGTGTTCGGGACCTAAGCAGTGGGGGTGCAGGAGGATGAATGAGACAGGTGACGGCGTGCTGGAGACGGCGGGTGGTCGGCGGCGTGTGGGCTGCTAGCTAGCGGGCGGCGGTGGAGGGAGTGTGTGAGAGGATTTAGGTTTGGGGGATTTGGATTTGGTCGTGGCACCTTTTGAAGGCCGAATGAAAAAATCGGAAGGAGTCTTGGCGCTAAGTTTTCGGCACGTGCGCGCGCAAAGACGAGCCGGCCCAATTGGTAATGAACAGTCAGTCGGCATTAATCGCCGACCAACAGTCTGATGGAGATACGAGCTTTCCCGACCGATAGTCCAACGTGAAACATTCCAGTTTTGCCGACCGACAATTGGACTCAATACATCAGTATTACCGACCAACAGTTAGATAGAAATTTTCCCGACCAGCAGTCTGTTGGTAAAATTGACTTTTCCTAACACACATCAGTAGGGAAATCTAGTGCGTGGTGTAGTGCCGGGCGAGCCACGGCCATCTGGCTTGCATGGCGATGCTCATCCACTTAAGGTCCGGAATCCCAAGGCCACCTGCCCACTTGGGGGCACAAACAGTCGGCCATGCCACGGAACAGTTTCCTCCCTTCGCCTCCGCTTTTCCACACCATAAAAACCCTCGCAGAATTTTGTTTATGGCCTTTATTATCTTAGCTGGGAGCTCCATTGCTAGCATCGCATGTATTGGCATTCATGATAGCACCGACTTAACAAGGAGTAGCCTTCCACTCTTCGGAAGTGATGAAGCTCTCCAAGTGGGTAGGCATGTCGCAATGTGTTCCACCAGCCCCTGAAGCTGGGCTGCCGATTGCCGACGTATGGTCAATGGGAGCCCAAGATATCTTATCGGTAATCTCCCAAGTGAGCAGCCAAGGGTATCAACCACCACCTCCATTTGGTCCTACGTGCACCTGATCGGTAGCGCAGCACTCTTGCGCAAGTTGGCCTTGAGGCCCGAGGCAGCAGCGAAAATCTCCAGAATGAGTGAGCACGCCCGCAAGTCCATCATGTGTGGTTTAAGAAATACCATGAGGTCATCCGCAAAGATTGACATCATGTGCCGTAGTCCAGATGGTGCAAGGGGGGCAAGGAGGCCAAGCTCAGCCGCCTGGTAGAAGAGCCGCTGAAGTGGCTCCATGACAAGAAGAAAGAGCATTGGCGACATTGGGTTCCCCTGTCTTAGTCCACATTTGTTGCATATTGGCTTCCCTGGGACTTCATTGATCATAACTCTCGTGGAGGATGTGGCAAGGAGCCCACAGATCCACCCAATGCACCGTTGTCCAAAACCCATAGCATGCAAAACCTCCAATAAGAATGGCCACGGGACGGAATCAAAAGCTTTCGATATGTCGAGCTTTAAGAGCTCGGTGGGATCCCTCAAGACATTCCTTGCACGAGCATGAAATTATCATGTAAATATTTGCCCTTCACGAATGCGCTCTGGTGCTTGCCCACCAAGCGAGGTAGATCATCCACGAGCCTAGAAGCGAGTACTTTGTCAAAGATCTTGATTGCGCTGTGCGCCATGCTCACTGGTCTGTAGTCACGGAGCTCCTCCGCCCCATCCATCTTCGGCAACAAGGACACCAGCGCCTTGTTAATTGCTAGCATGCCCCGTGTGTCTCCACGGTAAAACGCGTCCAACGCCCTAAGCAAGTCCAGCTTGATGATGCTCCAGCAGCAAGCATAAAACCTATTGGTGAACCCATCCGGGCCCGGCGCCTTGTCCGGTGGCAGCGATTTGACCACCTTCTCAAGCTCCTTCTCGGTGAAAGGCAACTCCAGGTGTGATAGATCAAGCCTCGGGAGCCCCAGGTCCTCAAGCCGCAAGGCGACACCCCTCTCCTTGGTCGTGCCGAGCAGCTGGCCGTAGTAATGGTCCACTTCCTCCGCTACCTGATCGTGCCCAGTGATTAGCTGCTCATCCTTCTTGAGGGAAGTGATCATGTTCTTCCTTCGTCTTTGTCTGGCATGCCGGAAGAAGAATTCAGTGCTGGCGTCCCCTTCTTTCAAGTGCAGAATACGAGACCTCTGTCTAGCGATGCCCCTCTCTAGCGATGTCCCCTTCTTACTATTTGCCTAAGTACCGATTTAGTCTAGTTTGTTTGACTGACATTTGGTGGGAGTGTTTGGATGATAGTTATGTGATTAATGGTTCTTGTTGATAGTATGCAATCAGTTAGGGTGTAGTTTATTTTGCCATTGTGTTTATCTTTCTCCAAAGCAAAGCCATCTCAGGAAATTTGATCACGTGCCCTTGTTTTCTTTGCCTTCTTGATCATACATATGCCCTATTAACTTATTTAAGCCATTTCGAATTGCTGAGCAAAATATTGGTAAGTGAAATGAAGATCTTGCCCCTTGGCAAACTTACAATTTCTCCAAACTCACATAGCTCAACAGAACCAATCAGCCAGGCCTGTTCATCCTGTTCGACAGCAGGGAGCTCCGCCACGTACAGGAAAGCCACCACGATTCATTACAGAAGAATTCTACTTCACTAGCAACACCAGAAGAGAGAATGATGAAAAGAAAGCACATCAGGTTATTCATATATGTACGCGATGGCTTCGTACTTGGTCTATCCTGCAGAGGCCGGAGGACAGAGACCTTTTTATGATGGCGTCTATGCGTCTAGAGCATTCGGCCAGGGAGGTTTTCTACCCCCATGGATGGCGGTGTGATCTTCGGATAGGATCTGCCACGTCTTAGGCTGGATTTATGTTTCTTTTAGCTCTGTTTCTTTTTGTTGTTTTTCGGACCTTGGATTTGTTGGCTGTGTGCATCTGGTTATGCAGAGGCCGGGCGTTTTTTTGATGCGACTGTATCACCTCGATAACTCAATTCAATGAAATGCCCTTTATCGAAAAAAAGCAACACCAGAAGAGAGAATGATGAAAAGAAAGCACACTACAAACTGAAGTTTCTCATTTTGGGCAATCAACTTTTCGATACGTCGAACATGCTACGAGAAGCCGCATTGCTTATGATGAGCACATTTATCATCCAAATTTTCTTGACCATGCCATATAACCTGTCCAACCACACGAAGAATTGCCAGCTGTTCACCAAACATACTAAATACAGCAACTTGATTCTGAGCGTTAAAGAACAGAGAAACAAGCTTCTTGTCCTTGTCATTCCACTGAATAATTGGCCGGGTTCAGAGAAGTCCAAGACTGCTGCAAGATCAACCTTTAGCATCGGCATTGTAGACCTTCAGCCAGAGGGAGCCTCATCATCCCTTGGTGCTACCCAGAGCAGAGTTGAGCTTCTCTGTGACATGCCCTGCGCTGCCATGGTCGGGAACAGAGACGAAGGGAAAGCTAGGGAGGAGTGACGAAATCGACAGGTAGAGTCGGTCATCGGAGATTCCACGCGCGCATGCTGTGCCTGTGAGAATTGAGGCTAAAGCGTATGCAATTAAGCAGGGACGCGTACGTGTTATATAAAGGCAAAGATTACAAAGAGGTTAGGTGGTTAGGGCGT